GCCTCCCCTTTCACTCCACCTGGCACCCCGGCCCAGGCCACAGGGCTGACCATATTTAAGGTGTGTCCACTCACCTCAACAAACCCAATCTAGGGGCTCCGTCACAGACATGCCTAAAGGGTCATCCTCTAGACGGTTCTCAAGTCTGTCAAGTTGACACTCAGTATTAACCCGTCACAGACTGCCATATTCTTCCCAACAGTGTCAATTGCTGGGTATGTCTTGGTTTTTGTGTTTTGTTTCAGCAAGGCCATACTGTGTACCAGCTAGCTTCCAACTCATGATCCTCCTGCCTCAGCCTCCTCAATATTGAAATTACAGGTGTCCCCAATCACACTTACCTCTACTATGAGACGGAACTGCTCTGAAGACCCTAACATGCACACATTTCATCTTCTTCTAATCGTTAGCATCAGAATAAGAACATCAAAGTGAAAACCATGTGGACCTTAGCGGGGTGGCTGCCTATCTAAAAGTTCCTGGTTTCACGACATGGATCTTTCCTTTTACTAAACTTGGATTCAAGTTTTTTCTGTTGTCTAGCAAGGTGACTCCATCAGGGAAGACAAACAGGAAGACAGAGCGCTAATTTAAAAGCACAGATACCACACTCTCTTCCCCAGTTTTTCTGCATGGCTAAGACAATGAATAGGTACCACCCAAACCACTATCCTGTAGGCATCCCACATTGGCCATGCAAATAGTCACAGGGGACACTTGGAGAGTCGTCAACAATGTAAAATACTTGGGAGGTCAACATTCTTTTGCTAAAAATATCTTTATTAAATGCCAGCCTATTCTTGGAATGACACTAGGTGCTAGGGAGCCACGGAAGCCCTGCCCTTGGCAGTCGGCAGCCTGGTATTGCAGAGGGACAGAAAATTCAAAACTCAAGTGGGTTTAGGGAGCTTGAGTGAAGGCGGCCTGACCAAGGAGTCTTCCCAAGTGAAAAGACAGCAGGGTCAACAATGAGCTAGTTGTATAGACTTGGCATCCCAGGGGAATCCAGGCGAGAGGCAGGGTGGGACAACATGTTGGTCCAATCTCTCTCTTTCCCAGAGACCAGTAAGTGAGCATCTGTTCTCCACCCTGACCTCCTGGTCATGATGCCCTGCCTCACCACAGGTCCACAGCGCTGGGGCCCAGATACCTCTAAAACCATGAGCTCAGATCAACAGTTCGTGCTCAGCCCCCATTTTTATCAGGATTTTTGACACAGCAGCATGAAAAACCAACACAGTATCTTTCCCTAAATTTCTAAGTTCATGGTACATTTTACATAACCAGAGCCTTCAGCAAGCAAGAGTTAAACATGGTGGCTCGTGCCTGTAATCTTAGCACTTGGGAGGCTGAGACAGGAGGTATATTGGCTGGTTTTATGTGTCAACTTGACAGAAGCTAGAGTCATCGAAGAGGAAGGAGACTCGGTTGAAGAAATGCCTCCATGAGATCCCTCTATAAGGCATTTTCTCATTTAGTGATCAATGATAGAGGGCCCAGTCCATGGTTCTCTAAGAAAGCAGGCTGAGTAAGCCAGAGAGAGCAAGCCAGTAAGCAGCACTCCTCCCTGGCCTCTGCATCAGCTCCTGCCTCTGGGATCCTGATCTGTTTGAGTTCCTGTCCCAACTTCCTTCAACAATGAACAGTAATGTTAAATAAAGTGTAAGCCAAATAAACCCTTTCCTCCCCAGCTTGCTTTATGGTCATGGTGTTTTGTCACAGCAATAGAAATCCTAACTAAGACAGAAGAATTGCTTGATCTTGAGACCAGCTTTCTAGGTTCAACAAAAGAAACAGAAACCTAAAGACACTTAAACCTGTCAGACACTTGTGCGTGTATGCATGCTCGCTTGTACTCATGTGAGTGTGAACGTGTGTGTGTGTGTGTGTGTGTGTGTGTGTGAGAGAGAGAGAGAGAGAGAGAGAGAGAGAGAGAGAGAGAGAGAAACATGTGCCACTGAATGGCATCTCCAGCCCTAATTTTAATATATTTAACCCATACATCAAAATTGTATAATTTTAAAGAAAATAACATTACTTCAAAGACTTAGAAAAAACGTCAAGCATCCCTTAATAAATTCCACGTGTATCTCATTATTACAGCACCTCCCAGTTCAGAAAGTTATGTTTCCAGTTCTCCAAAACCACAGGTGGCTAATGGTTACCAGATAGCAAAGGAGAAACCGGGGCCTTATAGGATCGGAAAAGCCGATCAGAGAGAGAGAGAGAGAGAGAGAGAGAGAGAGAGAGAGAGAGAGAGAGAAATAAAGGACCACATGATGCCTCTTGGGAGCCCTTGGAGTCCAGCACAGCTAAGGGCAGAGGAGCACTGGGCAGAACTTATATAAAGGCTCAAGAATAAACACAATGCCAATCATGAAGAGACGGCCTTGCCCACGGGTCCAAGAATTTGATGTAGGAGATTGAGAGAATCAAAGAATGAGACCATCACTCAGCAGAAGAGGGAGGATGAAGGGCAGAGCAACAGGGATCAGCCAGGAACCGCAGCCTAAAGAACATCACTGTGACCCAGGAGAGAAGGGGAAGGTGCAGCCCAGGTGAAAGCGGTGGTGGGTGGGACCACTTCAGCCGGCAACCTTTAAACAGGAATGAAATGGTCTTGGGAATTCTGGATGACTGGAAGACCAGGACTCAGGGCCTACAGCTAAGTAATGGAAAGCAAGCAGGTACAAAAGACCCCTCGCCGGCAGCCCAGTTGTTCTGAAAGCCCAGTTAATCAAGTCCACAGGGGGACATGGCTATAGGCTATAGACAACAGTCACAGAACAGAGCACCCCACAGCAGAGTCAAGGTGCAGCCCCGCCTTCAGCCATACAGAACCATGGGGTGTTCTGAAACCCAATACTTGTCCCACACTCCGAGGAGCAACATCTCCAAAAGAACTCCAGAGGACTGGGTACCATCAAGGCCCTTCCCTGCTGTAAAAACACTACAGATCCTATCTCCATCCAAATCCAGAGTGGCAGTTCTCTGCCTGGAGACTCAGCTAACAAGCCTGCCTTCCCAGGAAGAGGATATGATCACAACCAGAAGCCGTTTATCTTCTGAAGTGGTCTCCTTCCTTCCACACCCAAGCCAAGGACTCTCCCTTCCAGGCCTGAGTACCCCATCTCCTACTTAAACTCATTGCCCTGCCCCCCCCACAACACACACATCTGGCCACACGATGCCTTGTCTTCTCCCCCACTCTTGGGTAATAGAGAGCAGACTGGCAAAATAGTTCAAATGCCTTCTTTTAAAAGTATACAGCTGTGTGGGCCGGGACTATTTTGAGCTAAATGCTTCAGCCCTCCAGGCTCAGAGCTGCTTGCTCTAGACGTTCGCAGACTCCAAGTGAACAGTGAGGAAATCAGCAAAAGATGTCGCTGCCTCAGCTGAATGCCAGCCCCTCCTTCTGCACAGAAACACTAAGAGGGGCATCTCACCCTCAAGGACTCTTTACTGCGCATGCGAACTGGGCAATGCAGCATGGTGGGATATAGGGTGTAGTGGCAGAGACAGACACAAGGTTAGGGCTGGACAGGCCAGGTAAGAAAGCAACGACCCCATTCAGCTGTCCATGAAAACCACTCAGGGTCCAGCATGCGGTCTTGGAAGATGCAGAGGACAAATCCAACCAGAGATAGGAAAACACAAGCTGGGGCCATGGGTATAAAAGGAAAAAGCAAGAGATAAAAACAAGACTCAGAAGAACAGGTTAAGAGAAGCAAGGTGAACTGGGCCAGTGTATAAGGGCCCCAAACACCTCACATAGGTAATTCCATGCCTAGGCTGTGGCTACAAAGACCCAGTGCGGTTCGTCAGCAGGAATGAGGGAAGTGGGAAGGCTGGGGTGAGCCAAAGCAGGAAGTGGTATTGGAACACGGGACCACAGACCCTCTTCTCCGTCCTCAGACTACCGGCATTTCATCATATTGGCCCCAAAGGAAATGCCTAGACTTAGTGTCAAAACTAAGAGCACCCTCTCTACACGTAGTTCCTAACCTTGACTTTCGCGGATCTAATTGCTCTTGTAGCGTAGATGTTCTCCAAAGGTACAAGCCCTTTGCCCTATCTTTGCTAGCTCATCAAAATAGTATGGGACAGAGGGTCAGTAACCACACACACACACACACACACACACACACACATTTCCTGACTGGTTGGTGGGAATAACAGGATGTATTTGTCTTTTTTCCCTACAAACCAGGATTTCCCTAGCATTCCAGAGAAATGGCCAACTGACCTCCCCTGTGAACCCGCCTGCCTCACTAGTCCAGGGATTGCCTGGATTTCCTGGACACTTTCTCCTTGGCCTTGAACAACCTATAAAACCTCCCTGAGGTCTTTTCAGGCCCCTGTAAGTGTGCACTGGGACAGCTCAGTCTAGAAGCTCAGCAATTTGGAAAGTCACCGCAGCTGTCGAGGGTCACCAAACCTCCTGAAGCCTATTATCAAATCAGGTGCGTAGCAGGCGTCCCCGGGTTCCTCGGGCATCCCTTTCTCTCCCTTTTTCTGTAGGTGAAAAGGGGACTAGCGGGTTGGACAGGGGGAAAAGCTGCAGAAAGTAGGGGGAGAACAGGAACGAGGTTCGCGTTAGAAGAGCCCTACTCCAAATTATCCCTCCACCGCTGAGTACCTGTGTAAGCCAGCCACCCCTTTGAATGTTACCTCGTCTGTAAAGTGGGCATAAAGATAAATTCCGCGGAAGGTGGTTGGAACTCAAGAGTGTTAACTGTTGAGTAGAGTAAAGCAATGGAATCTAGGACCTGGGACACACCGAACAGCCTTAAGGGGAAACGGTTCCTGAAATGTGCCCAAAGACACGCGCCCGCCCTCCGTTTCCCACCCTCGCAGGGAGAACAGAACGACGTGCGTCGGGCGGGAGCGCGCCAAGACCGAGCACCTGTGCGCGCAGGTGGGGCCGGCGCGCGGGGGCAGCAGCGTGGCGACACGGCCCGCCGAGCCAGCTGAGCAAGGCGCGGGGTGACGCGACCCACCTGAAGACGCGCAGCAGCAGGCAGGCGATGAGCAGCGCGCTGAAGGCGCACGCCACGATCACCGCCGCCTTCAGGGTGGGCAGGTCGCGAAGCAGGCTGGAGATACGGGTCACCACGGCGTTGCCGCTGCTGTTGGAGCCGCCCCCGCCCGTCACGCCAGGTCCCAGCCGGGTGGCATTCCCCAGGCTAGGCGGAAGCTGGTGCTCCGCTTCGGGCTGTGAGGCCGAGGCGGACTCGGCTGTGCGAGCGAGGACGGCGGGCGCAGCCAGGAGAGAGAGCAGCAGCACCAGTAGCGGCGACAGCAGCGGCGGCGGCGGCGACAGGGCGCTCATGGTGCGCTGTGCGCACGGTGCGGAGGTCTGAGTCCCGGAAGCCTGAGCCCGGGAGGCTTGCACCCAGGAATTCTGCGCCCCGGAGGCTTGCACCCCGGAGGCCTGCGCCGGGGGCTCCGGCGGCCGAGGCGGCTGCGCGGTGCTCAGCAGGAAGCTGCAGAGCCCGGAAGAACCCGCGCCGCCGCCGCCGCCGCCGCCGCCGCCGCAGCAGCAGCAGCCGCCACCAACACGTTGCACCGAGTCATTCGACGGGCTTCGGCCCCGCGTGGGCGGGGCAGACCTCGGCTGGGTCCCCGCTGCGCTCCGCCCCTGGGTGGCCCCAGGCTGTTCGAGACCTGAGACCCCACCGAGAAATCCTAACGGCCTGGCTCACTCTGCTCAGAGTAGTATGCTGAGCGGCTCGCGCGATTTCTCATTCAATCCAGCAGCCCCCTCTAGAAACAGGTATTCTCACGTCCTCATTAGTTGATTTAGCACGCAGAGCCAGCTCTCGGGAGCGCAAATTTCCCACCTGGAGCTTGTAAGCATTTTACACTTCTGCTGGTGAACTAGTTTTCTGCGCTTCCACCTTTGGAAATAATGAACACCTTCTCCAGACCAGCCTGGCGTTTCAAACTCCAAGGAGTAATTGACTGTCGTGCTGTCTCTGGCATATAAACTAAATGATGCTGAGCCCAGGAATTGAGGCAGTGCTGAGTGCATTTCTCGAGCTAACCCCAAGTTGGTCTGGGAGGCACTCCCCCAATGATAGGTAAATATTTAAACACATGGAACAAGAACCAGGATACTTTGAACAGCTCATTTCTGGTCCTGCTAGAGAGACAGACAAATATAATGTATATATATATAAAGTATATTCATTGTCTATATCTGCATAACCAAACTTCCATAATTACCCCAAAACTTAGTAGCTCACAACAGCCACGTATATTATCTCAGACCTATCTGGGTTCTCCGGTTTCAAGGTGTCTTGTTAGGAGCTCCTAAGAAGGCTCACCTAGGACAAGCTCTGTCTCTGGGCTCAGTCAGCTTCTCCAGGCAGAATCAGCTCTTCATCGGCTGTGAGATCAGAACCTCCATCCCCCCCCCCCCCATCTGTCTATCATAGGTTGTCTGTCCTGAGTTCTCTCACTGGAGACTTTTTCTGTGTATGCGCGGGGCATGGGAGGAGGGGTTTTGAGACAGGATTTTTCTGTGTCTTTGGCTGACCTGGAACTTGCTTTGTAGACAAGGCTGGCCTCGAACTCACAGATATCCTCCTGCCTCTGCCTCCCAAGTGCTGGGATTTGGCATCTTCAAAGCATCCAAGCCCAGTTAGCAGTTAAATCATCCAGCACGATAGAGTACAATTCCATAAAACACAATCACAAATCACATCCCGACACTTTTTCCTGAACCAATTCCTTAGAAGCATGCCACAGAGCTCATTCACACTTGAGGAAAGGCGACTGTAATGTTGCAAATACCAGGAAGCAGGGAGCATCGGGGCCATCTCCCAGCTCTCTGCCATATACAATGTGATGAGTTTTTATTTGCAGAGGGGGGAGGGCGGATGAGCAACATTCAGATTCCCAGTAGTCATTGCCCACCAGGCACTATGTGTAATGTGTGTTTGCAAGCATGTCACAGGGATGAGCGCTAAAGATAGAGCATATGCTCAGCATGATGACACACACCTTTCATCCCAGCACTGAGGAGGCAGAAGCAGGCAGATCCCTATGGGTTTGATGCCATCCTGGGCTATATAGTTAGTCATATATAGCCAGAGCTACATGGTGAGACCCAGACACCCTTCTCCCCCGTCAAAAAAAAAAAAAAAAGAAACAAAAGAAACATATGGTTAAGTTCTTCCAACTCTGAACTACCATTGATGGAGAGTCTTCGTTTTCATGACTATATACACAGAAAACTCCCTAAAGATCTGGATGTGAGGTTCATAATTCCCGAGCCTTCTCCGAAACAAGCTTCAGGTGCTGCAGCCTTGCATAATAGAGCACAGGTGTGCCCAAGTTAAACCCTCTCAATAAGAATGGGCATTGACTGTTGAGTGGTCAGGGCCAGAAAGGACTTAACCAGTGAATAGGAGGTTTTTAATATTTAATAAGAGTAACAGGGCCAAGCACAATATGGTCACTGAGAAAAATCCACAAGAAGGGGGAAGCAGGCTAGAGAAAAGGAGCTGCGAAGGACCTTGGCTCCATTCCTAGCACCCACATCAGGTGATTCACAGTTAACTCCAGTTCCTGGGGATCCAGCGCCCTCTTCTGGCCTCCCTGGGCACTGCACACAGGTGGTACACAGAGAAGCAGGCACACAGACGTACACATACACTAAAATAAGTATCAGACTTCTCTCCTTTTGTCACAATTTATGAGCTGTGGGTGTGATTACTTGACATTGACTTAACACCAAGAATATAGAAAGCATAAATGCTAAACTACCTTAGGAAAGTGGCATTTTAGGATCTTTAATTCTTTCTAATTAAGGTTCACTTATACATTGTTCCATTTTAGAATACCTAAAGCATTATGATACAAATAACTGTGTACAATGGCCTTTTTAACATGGGAAAATAGTAACAGGCAACAGTGACCAGCTTCAGTTGATATCAAACCAAGGGCTGCTGGACCCAGGTTAGGCTGTCTTCGAGACTACTGTCCACTAGAGCAGACATTCTAGAAGCATGGTCTGTGGACCCCTGGGGCTCCTCACACCCTCTCAGGGCATTCTCAAAGTGAGAAATAATTCTAGAAGGGTGCTGAGAGGGGGTTTTCCTTTTGCATTGAGCTGACATTTGTGCCAATGTCAACAAGGGTGACGGCAAGACTCCAGGCAAGTTCTACCTATGCTAGGTGTCATCTTCAAAGCCTTGCTCTGCATGGCAACAATATCACTTCAGAATTCCCTTGATAGAGCCTTGAGATTATTAAACCTTGACTCTGAGGAGCAGGACATGTTATCGTCGTATGTGATAAGACAGGAAGAATCAATAAGTTGCTTTAGTTTCATGCTGAGAACTGGCAGAGGAGAAAAAGCAGGTGTGTGGTTCTTGGAGCCACAGACAAAATGGCCATTCTTTTCCCTGGAACCCTATCTGTCATCCAAGAATGACTGGCAGACTTCAGAGTGGGTCTGTGGTGGGCAATGTCTCAAAAATAAAAACAAAACAAAAAACAAGCCATCGCTTCAAGGAAGTCAGCTGACGTATGGCCAGCAAATACTCCCCCCCCCACCCCATTCTGTAGGCTCGCTCTCCACTCCTCTGATTGTTTCCTTTGCTGTGCAGAAGCCTTTAATTTCATGTAATCCTCCTTGTCAATGTTTTGGTTTATGTACTGTGCTTAGAGTAATTAGCAGAACAGCTTTTTGCTTCTGACTACATCCTGAAGTGATTTCTGTTATTTCTCCTGGCAGTTTCAGTGTTTCAACCTCTGTGTTAAAGTCCTTGATCCATTTCAAGTTGATTTTTTTACATTTTTATTAAATATATTCTTTTTTTATATGTGAGCATTTTGCCTGTGTGTACGTATGTCTACCATGTGCATGTTTGGTGTCCACAAAGGTCAGAAGAACGCATCTCATTCCCTAGAACATGGATGGCTGGGAAGCAACCACATTGTGTGGGTGCTGGGAATTGAACCCAGGTCCTCTGCAAGGGTAAGTGCTTTTAACCACTGAGCCTTCTTTCCAGGCCCCCTTTTTTAAAAAAATATTTTTAAGTTTATTTATTTTACTTTCTTATGTCTATGAATGTGTTTCCTGCTTGCATGTATGTGCACCGTGTGTGCTGTTTGAATTCTTGTGGAACTGGGACTCTGGGTAGCTGTGAGTCACTATGTGGGTGTTGGGAATAAAACTGGGTCCTCTGCAAAGGCAGAAAGTGCTCTTAACTGTTGAGCCATCTCACTAGCTCCTTGAGATGATTTTTATGCATGCTGAAAGATACAGATTTGTGAGGGCCCAGTTTTGAATCTGTTCCATCTTGACTAAAGGTCAGAGAGTTCAGACCTATTCTTGGAGGAGCAACAAGATATTTGACCAAGGATGTGGCCACTGGTAGCCTTACTCTTCAAAGGCCAGTCAACAGGATGTTTTGACTTAGGGTGTGGTTACCAGGAGTTCTGAGATATAAAGAGGTAATTGCGCTTGCTTGTTCTTTGTCTCCTGGAAGTTCTGTGACCTCCCCCTTTTGTTTGGGGTGTATAAGGGCTGAGAGTAATAAACTCGGGGCTTTTTGCCTTTTGCTACTGTATTCACTGGAAGTCCTCCCCATTCTCTTTTGTCTCTTGTCTCTTTCCTCAATCCACACTCCCCTTCTCAGGAACCTACGGACCAGTAGGGCCAAACCCAACACACACTTCATTTCATTTTTCTGCAGATGGACACCCGGTTTTCCCAGCACTGTGATTTTAAGAGGCTATCTTATTTTACTCTTTTTAAAGATTTATTTATTTATTTATACAGTATCCTGCCTGTAGGCCAGAAGAGGGCACCAGATCTCATTATAGATGGTTGTAAGCCACCACATGGTTGCTGGGAATTGAACCCAGGACCTCTGGAAGAGCAGTCAGTGCTCTTAACCGCTGAGCCATCTCTCCAGATCCTATCTTATTTTTTATGGTAAGATATTTACCCATTTGTCAAAATCTGGGTGGCTGCAATATAGCCATGAGGGTTTATTTCTAAAGACTTCTATTCCATAAGACAGATTTGTTGTTTTGTTTGGTGGTGGTGGTTGGCTTTGGGTTTTGATTTTTGGTTTATTTGTTTGTTTTGTTGTTATTGTTGTGTTTTAATAGTCTCACTATGTAACTCTCCCGGCCTGGAACTTACTATACAGACCAGGTGGCCTCAAACACACAGAGATCCATCTGCTTCTGTCTCCCAAGTGCTGAAATTAAAGGCATGAGCCACTGCCCAGCCTAAGACAGATGTAGTGTGATGAATCAAAAACATTTATGATGTGCTTTGGTTTTTTACATTGTGTCGTGGCTGCTGGCTCTGAGATCATGGAAGAGGGAGTTTGCCACAATGGTGTGTCTTTAGTGACGCCAGTCCCTTTAGTGCCCTCGCTGTCCCATCTAGAAGTTTCCGTTGACTCTATTTACATCTGTGAAAACTGCATGGTTTTTTAATTCTTCTGTACTGCTTGTTCCTGATTCTCACTGTAAGCCTTACTTAAAGCAACCAACAACCATTCTCCACCCAAATCATCTTGAAATTCCCTCCACCGATTTAATTTATTGACTACTGATGTGCTACTACAATTTAATTGTTCCACTACTTCTGGATTTGGCCTCACTCAGATTCTCAGAAGATGAGCAAAATGGGACAGAATCTTTGCCAGAATGTGATATAAATATCATGTAGTCCAGTTCCCAGTAGAGTCCACATTTACAGTTGAAATCTCACAGGTATAGCTTTTACAATCCACTTCTCTATTCTGGTATTCTAAACTTCCACCAGAGCCACAGCTCCAGACTCTTCCAAAATTCTCCCCTAAACCGTTCCAAACACCCAAGAACCACTTAGTCAGATTTAGTCACATCAGTGACTAAATTTTTTGGTCACCAATAAGACAGTGGATTTGATGTCCCCAACAGAGTTCTCATCTTGCCCTCTCCTATCTAGAGACTCCTCTGGCCTTTGTTCATTTCACACAATCTTCCATAAAGTTCTGTGAGCATTGGAGGAGGATATGAATGTCTGATCATAGTTTCTCATTTATGCTGAGTGTTGGACCATGTCCTATAAGACACTCTGACCAAAGCCACTTGGAGAGGAAAGGGTTTATTTCATCTTGTATTTCCAGGTTGCTCATTCATTGAGGGAAGTCCAGGCAGGAAGGGTTTATAGCTGAGTTGGTGTTTAGCTTTGTCCTTCAGTAGTGCAGAGTGTGTTCTGATATCAACACTAGTCCATAGGGGTGAAGGCACTAGATAGCTAGCAACTCAACTTCTCCAGGTTCCATGAGCTGTGTAGGTGTTGCCTTCAGCAGTAGGGCCTTGTCAACAGCCTGGTTGTGTGGAGGCTCCCATAGAACCTCTTTGGCCAACAACTCAATTAGATATAACCCATTCCTGGTACCGGAAGCTTCATTTGGTGACAAGAGATGTCCAGTAAGTTCTCTGTCTCCCCACCATTCAGCTGCTTCATTTAGATCACTCTGGTTATTTGAATGTAATTGGCCCCCATAATCTCATAGGAAGTGGCACTATTAGGGGATGTGGCTTTGTTGGAGTGGGTAAGGCCATGTTGGAGGAAGTGTATCACAATGGGTGTGGGCCTTGAGGTTTCCTATGTTCTCTCAGTCAACTTCCTGTTGCCTGAAAATATAGTACTCTCAGCTACTCTTCCAGCACCAGGTCTGCCTGCATGCCACCATGCTCCCCACCATGATGCTAATGGACTGATCCTCTGAAACTAAGCAAACCACCCCAATTAAATGTTTTCCTTTATAAGAGTTGCTATGGTCACAGTATCTCTTCACAGCAATAGAAACCCTAACTTAAACACCTCTGGTTTGGGATTATCTATTGCCTGTGTTTTCATTGGTGGAATTAACTTCCTCAGGTTGGAGTTTTCCTCCTAGTACCTTCTGAAGAACTGGGTTTGTGGATATTGACGCTATTGTGAATTTTTTTTTTTCCATCAATGGTGATTAAGAGTTTTGCTGGGTATGGTAGTCTGGGCTTGCATCTGTTGTCTCTTAGTGCCTGCAAGATGTCGGTCCTCTTCTGGCTTTTAAAGTCTTCATTAAGAAATTGGGTGTAATTCTGATAGGTCTGCCTTTATATGTTACTTGGCCTATCTTCTTTGAAGCTCTTAATATTCTTTCTTTATTCTGTATGTTTAGTGTTTTGATTATTATTTGGCAAGGGTACTTTTTTTCTGGTCCAGTCTATTTAGTGCTCTGTAAACTTCTTGTACCCTTATAAGTATGTCCTTCTTTAGGTTGGGAAAATTTTCTTCTGTGATTTTATTGAATATATTTTCTGAGCCTTGAAGCAAGGATTCTTCTTCTATTCTTATTATTCTTAGGTTTGCTCTTTTTATAGTATCACAGATTTCCTGGATGGTTTTTGTTAGGAAATATTTTAGATTTAATATTTTCTTTGACTGATGAATCTATTTCCTCTATCCTAACTTTAATGCCTGAAAATCCCTCTTCCATCTTTTGTATTCTGTTGCTGATGCTCCTGCTCACTTACCAAAGTTTTCCATTTCCAGAATTCCCTCTGTTTGTAGGTATTTTTGTTGTTGTTGTTGTTTGTTTGTTTGTTTTTGTTGGGGTTTTTTACTTCTATTTCCATTTTTAGACCTTGTTTCCATCAACTGTTTTTTCTTGGTTTTCTTGACATTCTTTAAGAGATTTATTAATTTCCTCCACTTTTTTGGTGGTCTTTTCTTCCATTTCTTTTTTTTTTAATGTCTATTAGTGTTTTGCCATGGGTTTCAGGTCCCCTGGAACTGGAGTTATAGACAGCTGTGAACTGCCATGTGGGTACTGGGAATTCCAGGGACAGTTAGGTCATCTCCAGCAAATACAGTGGGCTAAACAAGCAATGGTTACATTAGTTTAAATTTGATTGGCTGTAGTATTTTTGGACTTGTCGGGGCAAGCCCACACACGTATCAAAATGTAGGGAGAAGGGTTGCAGGATCTGCCCTTTCCTGATTGGCCAGCTCTAGCTTGTCAAGACTAGGCATGCTGTGGCTGGGAGTGGGCCAGGGAAGAGGCCATAGTCTGGGACTCACCAGAAAATGGTGAAGTGGCGAACCAGAATGGCAGAGCTGACGGCCCATGCCA